AACCAATGATTCCTAATTGCATCTACTTCCGGAAAGGCCAAATAAAGTGTTTTTGCTTTCGCACTGAAATACACAGCGTCTCCCTGACATGGCTGCATCAACACTACTGCTGTTCCTGAAACCACGCCTTCTTTCTTTGCGTGCACATTTGGGCGGAATTATGCTAATATTTCCAAATAGTGATCTAGACATGTGGGGGCGTGTTAGAACGAGCCGTTTTAGGAGGGCGTGGTTGACTCTTAACATTTATAAAGAATATCTCTTTGGATTTGAGACTTTAGTCTTTGCAACTTTACAGATCTTCTTTATGCACCAAGAGCTTGTAACACTCCAAAGAGAAAGGAAAACTTGAAATCGCATCATATGACCCCTTTAAGACACAGGCCTGTTTTACTCATTTAGTCTCACAGTAGTGTGTTAATGCTGTCCACAGGTGTCAGGGTGGGAAACACTGTCACACTCGGACAAAACAAACAGCCACTGACTCACACATCAAAGCTTTCTCTGGAGGTCAAATGGCAGGAAAACACAGAGCAGTCCTGTTCCTTTCTCCTGTCAAACTGTTCGGGGGCTGTTTTGGAAATACTGTTTCTCAATCAGTTCTTGTAATTAAGCCCAGCTCAGCATTCCTTCTCTGAAGGGCTTTTATGTTAACACAGAGCATGAGCTCTAAATCCACATGTATGATTAGGTAGACGGCCTCATGTGAGTTTGGAGCCAATCACTCAGAGGTTCCAGCCTCATAATCATCCATCCTTAAGTGGACCAAACCTGGTCAAAACAGCCCCTAATAGTGCATGATTCCAAAGACGGGGATTACAATGAGCTGCATGCGGTTAATTGCTGCAAGCTGGAAACAGTCTGAGAGGAGAGACAGCTTCTACTGCACAGATGTAGCGTCTGTGTTACTTATAGTTAGTAGAATGTCTAAAGTGGACTATTGAAATAAAGTATAGCTACTCACCAACTAGCGCTGCATGATACTGATGAAAAATTTGATATGCGATATCTGGTTAAATAACACAATATGATAATGCTGTGTGTTAAATAAATGTGAATTATATTTAAATATATACAAAACTGAAAATTATATAACCAACAAAAATGTTGCAGGTGCTTTGGCCTGACTCGTCTTTTTAGACTAGTTTGCTTAGAGAGCATCACAACGGCTTGTTGATATGTCTTGCATATGTCATTGAAGCACATGCACTCGCACACACACACACACACACACACACACACACACACACACACACACACACACACACACACAGGTTTGTTTTTGTGAAAAGTGGGGACATCCCATAGGCGTAATGGTTTTTATACTGTACAGACCGTATATTCTATTGCCTTACACCAACCCTACCCCTAAACCTACCCCTTACAGGAAACTTTGTGCTATTTCAGATTTTCAATACACTCCATTCTGTGTGATTTATAAGCGTTTTGAAAAGTGGGGACATGGGGTAATGTCTTGAAAAGCCACCTTCTCCTTGTAATACCTATGTCATACCTTTGTCATTATACAAATTTATGTCCTCATTTGTCACAAAAACGCACACACACACACACACACACAAACACACACAAACACACCCCATATAACAATTGTGTGCCCAGTATATTCTCTGCTATCTGCGTCGGCATAAAACAACAAATAATTTTCAAAGTACAGCCACATTTACCATTGATCAGCAAAATTTCTCAAGCCAATTCCAGTCATTTCAATATAAATCCGCATGATCGGGAGTTTTGTCTGAAGGCCAAAAGTTCCAACATAGATTTTGCTCATGTTCAAGTTTGTCACGCAAATTCGCTGCAACGACCAAAACTGCTTGATTTTCAAGTAACTTTAAAATTTTTAACCAGATGTGTGATGAAAAAAGCTATTTCTTTTTTCATGTAAATTTGAGTTTTTGTTTGACCATAACAATTGACCGGACATATTTGATGTTTGGTTTCGGTTGTGTAGGTGCTGGTTGGCTGGGCTTAGCTGGTTTAAGCTGGAAGTAGCCTGGCCAAGCTGGTTTTTAGCTGGTTGGTCAGCTGGTCTCCCAGCCTTGACCAGCTAAAGAAGACCCCACTAAAACCAGCCTGCAGACAAGCTATGACCAGGCTGGAAGACCAACTAAAACCAACCACCCAGCTTAGGCTGTTTTCAGCTGTTTTTT